CCTGTGCTTCAATCACATAAAAATAGTGAAATGATTTAAATTCAGTGATTAAAAAGACAGTTAGCCCTGCCTTGAAGTCTGGTCTCAGATTTTCGGTTGAGAGAAATAATATCTTTTTTAAAATACAATTTCAAGGATTAAAATACGATACCAATTCCTAGACCAGAACAATCAGATGTCTCCTATTCCTAGAACCCATTATGTGATGCTGCCTGTTTAGTTTGTGCCTCATAGAGCCAAACTTCTTTTCCAGAGTTATGTTCCTTGTTTTAGTATCATGTTCTGCCCTGAAAAGTGGTAGTGAGCAATATTGCCTCAAAGCCCTTTGCATACTAAGTAATCCTGATATTTCAGGCACACATGAAGCTGAACTCTCCCCCTTACTAAGGTAACTTTTCTATGAAATGTCACTTTGCAAAAAAGTGTGAGGGAGGGAAAGATAGAAAGTGACCCTCTGTGCCCTGGAGGCTAATAGTCACCTGAACAAGAGGGATGGAGGTTTAAAGTCATGCCTCAAGGGTTAATTACATAGATTAGAGAAACATTAAATAAAAACCACAGGCAATCTTAGAAACAGGGGTTGGAACTCAAATCTCCCTCCCTCAGATGAATGCTCTCATATTTGAGTTAGACAGCTGTATTCTTTCTCTGTTAATGAAATAAATCCCAGTGGCATAGCTTCAACTAGAGGAGGAAACTGTGCTGCAGGGTCTTAGTCCTGTCCCAGACATATCATAGATAGATGGCCAGGGTGGTTTTCCGTGAGGTACCAAATGTGAGGCTTAGGTATTAACCTGGAGATCTACCACAATCTCAGTTACTGCCTTAATCACAGAACTATTTTTTAAAAGGGGGGTTAAGTAGCAGCTCCTCTGCCAGCTGTTTTTCAAAAGAAAAGGAGCAAGCCTTTTTCTGCTTTAGTGACACTTTTGAAAGGCATCTTTTGAAAAGACCCCTAACTCTTAAGATTGCTGAGTGGAGGGTTAAGAAGCCCTCCACTCAGCTTGCTGGCTCTTGTCAACCTCCTTCACAGATTCCCAGATTTCCTCATAGGAAGCCTAACTCCAGGCATTTGATTATGCTCTGTGAACCAGGTGTCTAAAAATGAGGCGTTGCAACATCTAAGTTGCTCAGAGATTCAAGCCTTCAAATAGAATAGAAGAACAAAAGGAAGGATAAAAAACTTCCACTTTACTGCATGAAGGATAATGTTGCAGACCTGTGTAATTCCATAAGAAAATCTACAGTGCTACAGCTGAAAATCTAATGGGGTTTTTCAAATACTGCTGGAAACACAAAGAGGATCTCTGACTTTGTGCTATGAATGACCACTATGTTGCTTGGTGAGCAGTGGCAAATTATTTGCACGGTAAAGAACACGTAATTACAAAGTACAAACAGTAACTGATTATTGTGATTATTTCAATCCCCTGGAGTGAAGAGTAGATGGTAATTAATTTCTGGACCTATCACACTAAATATAATTACTGGGAACCACAGCAACTGTAGGCATATGCTGGTAAAATAGAGTTTTAGATGTTACTATATTTGTTTGTTACCTAAGACTTCATCCTCAATTATATGCTAGAAGTAAAATGCAGAAATATTTCAAAAGAACTTCTATGGATCCATAGACTTACTAAAAATATGGTTAAAAAGTTAAGAGTTTTAGCATTTCTACAACATTATTACTTGGTCATTCTGCACTAATTTCTAATTTTGCACTGATTTCTAATTTTGCACTGATTTCTAATCCACTTCATTCTAATTTTGACTGCATTAATTGCCAGGGAATCAACAGCCTCCTTTACGTGATTTACTTCCTGTGCATTTATGTGGTATTAGTTTATTAAAATTCTAATTTTGCATTGATTTGGATCCCGGGGCACAAGCCCAAATCCCAAGTCTCATTTTGGTGTCTACTGCTTTAAAGAATTTGTTGTCCTTCCAAAATGCACTACTTGAGAATTAGCTCATTGCATGAACCACCAGAATAGGTTTTTGGGGGGAAGAAGGGTGGGAAAGTTGCAAGTTTGCCTTTATTTTTACTCTCATAGTCCAACTCAAATTATGCCTGTATGCAAAAATATCATGAGCTTGAAGATAGCCCAGGCTTCCTTTTTGCACAAAATTCCTCTGAATTTTCTCAGCAGAAACAGTACCACCTAATTCCCACTAGGAAGACCATCCACAAACATTGCAGATCTCAGATATTTCCTGAAGAAACAGCACCACATAGGTAGAGATACTCCTTTTCCTTTGATTATTTCTGAGTTCTGTGGAACTCTCTCTTCGTTCTCTGGCTATACAACCTCACCAACACTGGGCTTTCTTGGACACCCCAAGCAACACCTTTGGTCTGTTTCATAAGATGGAAAAGCATCTACGAGAACTTTTAATGGTAGTTTTCAGCAGCTACACCTTGACTCATTGTTGACCAGGAGTGGAACAGGCATGGATATATACATTATCTGCACCTCTGACTGCTTTTTCTTAGCAGGCATTGGAAAATGACCAACAGCATGAGTTTCCTCTTCTTTGTGAAGACATGAGAATTGAGGGATTCCTGCAGATTCTGTGGCGTTAGTTTGCAGCAAATTCACAAACAGCTGTTAAGGGCACCAAACTGAGAAAAAACCCTCTTATTGATCATAAAGAGTGCACAGTGGCACCTGTTGGATGTGCTCTCTGCATGTATCTTGCACTAATCTGCTTACCCTTTACACTTGAGTTAGCTATTGTCTCTGAAGTGCTAAATGAGGGAGAGGTATGACTCAAACATCATGTTAATTAAATTCTTATTATAGAATCATCATCATTTTCTTGGTGAAAAAGGAAGGAAAACAAACCCAGATTTATTTTCAGGTTTCAGTCTGAGTTGATTTAAACTGACTGAAGGTGATAGGGGGTACCTTTGATTTAGCAGCAATCTGAACCTTCATAAATGAGCAAACATTGATGGACTCTACAACTGCTGTTACTGTGAAACATAGGCTGATTTTACGTCTACCAAGCTGCTAGAACATCTCCCTGCTATTACTAGTAGCCTTTGCAATGTCTTTTCAATATAAGGAAATATTAAATCAGTCTGCTACTATTTTAGTTACATTCAATATATGAGACTGCTCTGAGAACAACAAAAGGTAATTTCTGAGGTGGGGAACAGAACTAATCCTATAATCTTACAAAATAAATAAAACTACAGCTCTGTCTTCTTTGGAAGTTGTACCCTTATTTATTAGCTGACTGTCAATCTGAACTCTGTAATTACACTATTTGTTGTGGTTATTTTTCAAAACTGTGCAGTTCCTCTGGAGAAATGCACTGCTTTAACTTCACAGCTATTCTCTTCCTTTGCCCTGCTGTGATGCCTTTATCATAATACTCATCAGACTCTGGCAGCCACAATCTCATGCTCCCAAGAATGGCCCCACAGAAAGGCTAAGATGAATCTTCAGATGGCTCCTTAAATTTATTCCTTCCCTCTCTTGCTATTGTTAGTAAAGCAATAAGCTTTTTTTTCCCCCAGATGCTGCTTCCTTCAATACTGTTGGAAGGGATGAAGACAAAGGACAGGAGAAAGCTTTGCAGAGTGACAGCTTTTTAACATTGAATAATCTACCGCTGTGCATGTTAATAGACGGTGCTAGGTTTGATTAACTAATTTGGCAAATGAATATCTAAGTTAATTACTTTTGCTGATTGTTTCCAACAGCTCTTTCTCCGTAATTTCCTCTTTGGATAGTTATATAGTGATTTTTGCCACTGATAACAATTCATATAAAACCATGGGGTATATATTCCATAGTAAATATATCTGGTAACATCTTACACAGAAAAGGTCACTTAAGTTTCAAAGTCACAGAGAAGTGTAATTTCCAATATCATCTCATGGCTGGTTTTGAAAGACAGGTACTTAGTAAGTGGGTATGCCTTTAAGGGATTTTCAAAGTTTGTGAAGTCAGACAGACCTACATTTTAATTGCAAATAAACACCTGATTGGCTGACGTATCTTCGAAAAATCCTGCGTGCCTGAACATCTATATAGATCTGACACTCTTACAGACCTAATAAAGGGTCAGGTCTAAGAACTTGAATCTTGTCCTCTTTTTTTTGTTATATGAAAGTCAAATATTTTCCTTTAAACTAAAATATCAGATAATGTTTTATGCAAATACTTCTATGCTGCCTTCCCCGATGATCAGAAAGCACACCATTCTTCTCAAGAGGCTGTGGCCTTAACCTATAGTCTCTACTTATTGTCTATAGATCACTACATACTTAAGTACTTACATATTTGATAATTTAACATTTCTTAGTTACTTGCATTTAGAAGTTAAGCTTCATACACTCTCCATAGGCTTTGTTCCCTTGCCTCAGCTGAATAACCCTGTGTCTGGACAACCTAACTTACATATCTGCTGTCAAACCACTGCAGTGCCCCCAGTTGTCAACACATTAGCTATCCCCTTCTCTGAAACCCTAGGTTAGCTTTTCTGTGTCTTCCTGAATCATGTTTTACTTCCAAGTCTTCACCTTCAAGTACAACATAATATTTCCCTCAACTACATTATTTTGTCTCCTTTCTTACTTCTCAATCCTTCTGTCTCTCATCTGTTATTTCTTCTACCATTTAGCACCGTCTGCTGTCTTGCCCAGGCGCAGGTTCTGCATTTGTCCACCAACGCGGTATTCTTCCTTTTTCCCTTTCTTCTTTTACACCTCTCCCTAAAACCCATCTTTGTTCCCTGTAGCATGTAATTATTTGCCTGCAATGTATCGGGAGTGGGCAGGGGCTACATGAGCTTCCCTTCCACCCACTCATACACACAAACTCAAATAATTCATTCTGAAGCCCCACAGCCATTTTTAAAGAGCAGCTGGTGACCTTTGCCATTCTGCAAAACCGGACACTGTAAGGGGCGAAGAGAGGAGAGCGCTCCAGCTGTACTACCTCTGAACTGGAGAAAAGGGAAACGTATATCTCTGTTTCACTTACCGGTTTCTATTGCTAGAAATCCAGTCAGAGATTAATGTTGCAGCCTGCTGGTGACAGTGTTTGTTACCAAAGCTGCAGGCCAGCATGATGACTTCACGACGCAATTCTCTGCCCAAATTAAAGAGAGCAATAAGGCTGCATTAATAAAGGTGTCTGAATGTTTACAAAAGGCATTTCTTAGAAGATAATGGGAGCAGCTGATGGTTAGGTAACATATATCACAGATAATCTAGCTATACAGATTTCAGTGTCTATGTGCCTAGAGCAGCTGCAACATCTAAAAACAAGTCATAGCGCAAAAACAGCCCTCCTTTACACTTATGCACTCTTCCTGACTTCTGTGGTTACGCATCCAAGTTCTTAAATATCCAGTGCAGTCAAACAGTAAATTAAGGCTTAACAAATCATTTCTTGTTGGTAAAACTCACGAAAGAGGAATTTGTTTCACAGCATCTTGTTGCCCTCCCTCTCACCCGGTAAGGAAAAACGAAAGGATGATAGAGCCAGAACAGTATAATATGCTGAAGATTACACCAAATTTTAGGAGAGCGTTTTATTATAACTATATCGTGCCAAAAAAAAAAAAAAGGAAGAAATATAACAGTACTCATGTTGGTAGGATGCTTGAACAAGCGATTTGTTTAAATGATTCGTTGGCCATCCAAGCTTCAGATACATTGATGCAACTTGTCTTAAAATATACTCCTGAGGGGGAAAAGAAAAATATATTCAGTGTTAATATTAATTTTTGATTTTTGACTCCGAGTTAAAATAGTATTGACTACTGAGTTTTTGCTTCTTTTCTTCCCCTGAAATAATGTCCCATTTTCCAAAGGTTTTGATTCACAATTAGTACAATAACGTGCCCGTACACAATCCTCCTTAATCTCCACAGTGAGAAGTAATCTGTAGAACAGCTACTTGATTTGATGCCTTGTGTTAGCCAATTTATTGCTATAATTCCTTCAATTTAAACAGAGGTTTTTACATGCTATTTTGAACTCACTATGCATGGCTGAAAACTTGCTAAAGTGTCAACAGGTTAATGTCTGCTCTATGGCCAATCTTAACCATACTGTGCATGTTCACTGTTAAAAGAATATTATTTTAATATCCATAGCCATGGCAAAAATGTTACATAAGTACAGTCAATTGATTTCAGAATACTGAACAATGTGGGCTGCAAATGAGATCTGGATATGTAGTAACACTATATTTCAAGTTTAGGTTCTTGGTATGCTTAAATAACAAAACCAGCACAAAATGTGTTTTAGCTTACTTTTACTTTTTACAGAGTAAACATATTTAAATACTCTGCCAGTTGTGAAGAAAACAACTGTCACTGTTTTCAGTATAATCTGCCAGCAAAATTCACAAATTTGAAAAAGAGAACTGAAATATAAATAACTGCATAGAAGAACATCTATTTCATTCTTATGGATACATGGGCACATATACGATGCTAGCACAAAAGGAGATTCATAGCGCAGCTATCTCTAGCAGATATGGTATTCCGTGTTAAAAAGACTTTTTATTTCCTCCACTATCACCTCTGCTTTCAAAGCTCTCATCAATAGTGATGAAACACAACCCAGCCATGAATTTTACTGTTTTTATTTATTAAAATTGCATTTTCTTCACACAGCCATGTTTAAAAGTGAAATAGCAATGCCAGATTCATAAGAATTATTCTGTGTAGTTAATGACAGACTAAAAATGCAAATTATTTCAATGATGTCATTGTATATTATGGCTGTCTGGTTTGCATGTACACCTAACTGTAAGTGCATAAAGAAAGAATTTCAAAATGTCTATATTAATCTGCAACATATCTACTACACAATAATTTTCTATGCTAGCAGGTAGCTCTGTGTATATATATCTATATTATATATATATACATACACACATACGTGTGTGTATATATATATATACACACATACATCCAGTCTAGATTCCTGCTTTGTGGATGTGTTTCTGTGTACAGACGCACACACACAAATATATTTTTAAGAAAAAAAAAAACTTTAGGCATTGCAGGCTTTGGAGAGTACCTTCATTTCAATGGCTGTATGAAATTATATGCAGTATGTTGGCCATTCAATATGTGTAAATACATAAAATTCACTATGAGTAAAAAATCCAAGAGCGTGTAATTGTCACTGGCTGCAATCAAATGCTGTCTTTCATCAGAACATACTCCAACCTAGGTAGGATTTTTTTTTATTTCAAGTAAAATATTAAAATGTTTGCTATGTCTACCTATCTTAATTATCTCCTGCTAGCTGCTGCTGCTGTCCCTTCAGACCCAATTATGAATGGGCTTTTGATTCAATGTTGATCTAATCCTTGTTAATTAAGGTAACTGTGTTAAATTCACCATGTTTTTTTGGATGGAAATAATAACTAAATCTTTAATTCAGTTGCATGCATCCTGTTGTGCCTGCATTTGATGTCCTTGCAGATTTGGGGCCTCAGTCTAAATACAGGAATTGGATTCCTCAAAAGAGAAAATGTGGAAATAGATTACTTTCTGCTAAGTGAAATAATTTATTTGTCATAATATTTTATAGGAGGAATAATTACCTTTCCTTCTACTAATTATATATGCCTCAAACAACAGTTATCAGTATTCAAATGCAAATGAACCAAAGCTTGACAATTGCTATGTTTAAATAAAGAAAAATTAGAAAGAAAGCTAGTATCCTTAGGTCAGTTACAGTATCTAACTGAGATAGTTCATCTCTTGTCAATGAAAGAAAGAAAAAAAAAAGAGAGAAAGAAAGAGAAAGAGAGAGAGTATATATATATATATATCTTTACATTGAAGATGTTGTAGTTTTCTGTGCGGTCCAGTAATTTATCTAAAGGATAAAGAGCTCGACTGGCAGCATGCCAAGGCAGAAAATCCTTCTCCTCAGAAAGGTATCTGATGATTTCCAAAGGAATATTCTGAGGCAAATAACCAGCTCTGCACAAAAAGAAGTTGTTAATGTTAATTAGAGTTTGCAGAAGATACATGATGATGCAAAAACGACTTCTTTTTTTTTCCAAATTAAATTAGAAGGCAGAATGCCTGATAAAATCATCATACTGTAATGACATAAAAGTCTACCTTATAAAAATCTGTAACACACAGTCTCTTGCAACAGGCACAAACATGCAACAGGCACATACATACTGGGATGAAGGAAGGTGTGAATACACATGAAAGAAAATTAAACAACGTATCCCTATTTTTTATGGATTCCAGTGGCTATTACATACATGAACAATGAACTAACTGACTTCATATAACAAGCAAAAGGGAAGTGTCCTTTTGTTCACGTGTAAGATGATAGAAAGCAGTTGCAATCAACAACCCCAGGCATTTTGCTTCACAGAACATTTCTACTAGTCATGGGTAATGGGGAAAAATTAATTGTGAAGAACCATCCTTTAGTTTCATTGTTCTCCTAACCCCTTCCCTTCTCCTCCAGAGCTGCCTTGTCTTGTGTCCATTGTAAGCCATTTTGGAATGAGTTATTTTATTAAACTGAAATAGTATGCAACACTTTGGTTAAGGAAGTTTCAGTACTTTCTATATAAGTTCTATTTTTTTCAAGGGTTTAAAAAAATCAATCAGTTAAAATTTTGCCCCATTCTTTCACTGACAGAAAGGATATCCCCCTGCAAGGGAAATAGTCTTGCAAGGTTTCAAGAAGGCTGTTTAAATGAACAGCATAACAAGCACAGTACAATACAGGCTCAAGCATTTGAAAGATGTTTTTTAAAATTCAGTACTGGAAACATCAAGCTTTAGGATTTGTACTCATTTTCTTTTTCAGAACAGCATTACTTCTTAACTATCCAGACCACAGAAACACCCTGTGGGTGGTGCAAACTTTCTAACAACACACAGGCCTATTCTTCTCCTGATGCATATGTTTAACTCCCATGGGAGCTCTGTACCTGCCTGCAGAGGAGATAATGATTTTGTTTCCATAATATACTTTAAGTTAGGAAGTTGGATTCCACAAGCATCAATTCAACACAGGCCAGTTTGATATATCCTCCTAGACCACTTTTTCTCCTCACTGAATGTAAATGTTCCCTTTAATTTCCATCACTATCCAGGGAAAAGATGCATACATACAGTAAACAAAGAAAAATATACAGATTATTACGGAAATGAACCAATACATATACTTAGAGGTAAATCGTCATCTCAGTTGTAACAGCATAAATGAAGAACTACCCTGCTAAACTCTTTGGAATAGACTGCTCCTTTCGGTACAGTCCGAAACCAGTTTTCTTGCAAGCAGCACTACATCCATGCAAGTCACTGGGCTTCACATTCCCCCTTTGGAAGAATTCCACCCTCTTTCCTTAACGTTCTCCAGAAAGAAGTGAGTTCATGCATCCATCTTCAGAAAGATCTATCACATGTCCTTATCATGACCCACTCTCCAGTTTGCTTCATGCATCCTTTGTCCATATTTTGTCAGCAAGATTCTGCTCTCGGCTCTTGTCACAGCACATGTTCAAGTAAGAAAAACAAGAGCGCTTGGGGACTGAGCAGTTCACTGAGTCACTCAGGAACTGAACGGATGTGGAATCTGAATGGGGCTCCTAGAGTAGGGTACAGGAGAGAGTGTGATGCATCTTAAAATAGACAAAAAAAGGTAACTAGAAATTACTTCATTTCTATAGGCCTTTCTTACTCCAGAAGCAGCAGAATATCACAAAAGTATGTTCTAGGTCTTAACGCTTTCTGAAGATGCAGAACCAGAAGCACACTGGATAAGCTGCAGAGTTAAACATCCTGGAGATAATGTTAGCAAAGAGCTAAACTTGCCTGAAGTTGCATATGCGTAATTGGTTCCTAATGGGGTTCGTGATTATTGTTACTGATTAATTTGATTGACATAAGAAAGCGTGGCACAAGGAACAAGAGGAACAGCTCTAGGAAACGTGCTGCTTAAGGAATAAACAGATGAATGGTTATTATAGCTGCACTAATGAACATTTAAGATCATGCTCCTGAAATTAAAAGTCTCTCTATGCCAAGTACAAAAGAAACCATCACTGCAAAACAGATTATTTCTTTTTAAGCCTAACTTCTCTAGAAATAATCATAAGAAGTGAATGCAAAGAGATTTTACTTATTCATGAGCTTTCTGCCTTCCTAATCTGTTTCAAAATTGTGATTCTATGTTGATGCTCCTCATCCTCTTCACAATGGAAGCTGTTACATCACCTCACTGCTGGTAACGTCCAAATTTATCAGTCCCTCTAATTCTTCCTACGTTTCCCCTCATTGCCCGCTTTTCCTCATGTTTCCTCACAGGTATATTCCTTCTCACATAAACATAATATAGCAAAGATTAAGTTTTTCCTGTTTCCTCCTGAACTTCCTCCCTTTATGGGCCTGATCCTTGAAGAAGTTAGGCACACCATCATCAAAATCAGCTCCTCAGATACACGTAATCAAAACGCCAAGTTTGGAGTGAGGGTAAGTCCTTGTGGATCACATAATTACATAAGTGCCAACACATTCATCACCTCAGACCATGATTTTGAAGGAAAGTGGCTACTGCTGCTATGATCAGTGTCAGACTCTGTATCAGCATATGTTGGGCAAGTGTACTTTAAGTATAGCTACGAGGCTGTATCTCTGAGTGAAAATGAGCAGAGACATATCTCAAATCTGCTTACGGAGGCACCTAAGAGAGGAGTATTTCCCTGGAGAAAACAGAAGTCCTTCCGGAGCTTTCAGCTGACAATGTTCTTTATGTTCTATAAAATTTTATTGTATGGATGCCTACAGAAAGCTATTACAGTCCTATTTGTTCACCCTCAGTCACTAATTCCTGTTTATGGGCCTCTCTTTCCAAACACACTATCATCTCCCAAACTGTTTGCCATTAAATAGCCTCCATCAAGAGCTAGGGATAAATACATTCATTGTTTTACTTTTTGTGTAAAATGTAGCATATAAAGTATATATTATAAAATATTAAATGTATAGGACAGTTCAAAAAGTCTGAGGAATATTTTTATTCACAAAAGAAGGAAAGAGTTGTTAATAGTCAGGCCAAATATTAAGGCTACTAATTTTTGGCTTTCATAGTTGGGAAAACAGGATATAAGAAGGTCTCACTCTATACCCTAAAATCCATAAACCATAAAAATCACATATGGATAAGAAGTTCTAAGGAGAGGGCACATCTAAAACCTGGAACAAAGGTCTAGGAGCTATGTGAATTGTCCTGGGAGTTATCAATCAGGACTACCACGGCAAGCAACTCAGCAGAACACAGCAACCGGCCAAATCAGAGTGGCTATGTGGTGTGCTATGCTCCAGAGCTCGGTATCTTCACTAGTAGCTAATTTCGTAAGCTTTATGTTTTAGCATCCTACCATGTTTTTCATTATAGTGCTAAGAGTGATTTCAAGAATCCCCCCTCCCATAAAATACTGAATACAGCAAGATATACTGGGTCACTTGAACAGTGACAAACTCACCCACTAGGCAAGGGGTCCCAAAGAGCTCATAAGGTTCCCTTTCACCACCCTGCAAAAACTAGGATCTGGTCAACAAAAGAAAAATTTTTGCATGCAGCAAAGTAGGTCAAAGATTCATGAGTTTCACTGGACCTGTGGCAAGCATACACCACCAGGCTGCTCAAGAACTTCTAATTGAAACCACTTGTTCCATTTATGGAGCAGGATAATATCCAAGATAAGGAAGGAAGGCAGAACAAGGAATTTGGAATGGGTCTGTTCTTAATATCTCTGTAAATTCTCATGGACCAACACAGAGCTGTAGAAATGTTAAATAGAAATATTTAACAATTATCATTACAATAATAATAAAAGTAGCAGTGGCAACTTTTCCATCAACGGAAAAAGTGTAAAATAATTTCCTTGTCATATAATTTTCTGATAATAGTATTCCAAGGTATTATAGGTACTACAGAATGTAATATTAAAGTTCTGTATATACTTTATATTTCCAGCTTGATTTATCCCTGTCCTTTCCAACAATGTCACTGGAAGGTCAGTGACAGAAATCCTTATTTTTCTTGTGTCTTTTTAGCCATCAATCATATTGGTATCCTTAAAGTCCAGCAAAAGTACCATCAGATCATGCCTGCCAAAGTCCAAATGGGCTTTTACTGGCTTAGTCATCCCAGAGGAAAATTGAAACAGTGTCTGTCACTCAGGGAACAAGTGATTCTGGGCTATACTAAAAGCAGCTAACAAACATAAACACAGCAGAAACACTGTGATGTCCACTCTGACAACTGGTCTGAAACAGTCACACTGTTTCTGCAGACATGTCTCTAGCAGCCACTTGAGGATATTAGCATTATATATCTACAGCCAAAAAAAAATCTGCAGAGGAATCCAAGATAGTTAAGGCAACTATGCAGCATGCAAAACAGTCTAACCAACAATAGTGGCTGTATGCAAACTAATATTCAGGTTAAGCATTTCTCAAGTACAGGTTAAATTTCACAAAACTTAGACTCACAAGGAGTCTAGAATGAAAAGGCTTGAAGGGACATTAAGAACTCATCTAGTCCCCATCCCAAGATAGATTCATCCCAGTGTCATTCCTGATAGAAATTTGTCTAATTTGTTTCTATAGTCCTCCAGTGATGGAGACCCTAAAATTTCAGGGCTCCTCTTTTCAGAGGCATGACAACGAGAATATTCTAATTTTTGTCTTTCACTCATAAATATTTAAAGAATATTGTTGGCAGATCCATGTGCATGTCCTAAAATGAAACATTATTTATATAGCTTCAGTACAAATGATAAAAAAGCAGGGCTCCCTCTTTATTGTATTCTGGATTACAGGTTTTTGTTTGGCATCACTGATCACATAGAAAGGAGTCCAAACTTAGAAGAGAGCTTCTGTAAATCCCTTCTAAGCTAGCCATCCCCATACTTAGTCATCAGAAAAATATAACTGTAAAAGCA